CTTATTCTGACTGTAACATCATGACTATGCCTTACGGCATACCACCGACAAGGTGCGAATAAAAATAATTTACCGTGTGCAGAAAAATCTAACCGTTTGTTTCAAGACAAGCATCTCGCCTGATACATAACTGGGCCAATTTCATGTAAGAGAAGAACCAATTGTGACTGGAACTGTGGATAAACAGCTCTATCATTTTAACTATTAGTATGACGCTGGTGCAATGAATGACAGAAAACTGTTGAACGTCTCATATTCGCTCCACTACGGAGTACATCAGTGACAGCGATACTGGTCACTCAATCTGTTGTTCCTTTGTTAAATAGGTATGTAGTTACTCGTTCATTCGTCTGGTTATTCACTCGGTCTTCAGTTGATTTATTCACTCAATCACCCACTCATTCATTCATTCATTCATTCAGTTCTTGGAGAGCCTTTCGGTTACTACAGACAACACGGCTTTTTACCGCAAGATAGCTCAGTGCAAGGCACTGAGGCGATCAGTCCGTATTCTCTGCTTACGCTCACATTGCTTCTCAACAGTATACTTTATTAACAATTCGCGACTGCGTAGGAATATTTCGACGGCGGTTCGTTTGCTTGCGCAAAGGCTAAACTAGCTTCTATCCGCTCTAGCGACCGTTTTTGGACAAAATCAGTTGTATTTTTCTCTCAAGTCCGTCAAGCAGAACGCAGTTTTTTGAAATTATTTCGAAAATATGACACCCGTGCACAATCCGCTCGTGGTTGACGGCCTCAGTGGCGAGTCCACATCATCCAAAAATATACCACTTTCGACTGCATCGAATTCGACGCATTGGGCGAGTCGGCGGTACAGCTGAACGGCCGGTATTTTCGGCCCGTGCACGCAATGATTCAAATGCTCCAGCTCCGCTTAATAAGAAAGACAGGAAGCAAGTACGTGTACAGCCCGACGAAATCAAACAAAAATTGCATGTTTTAGACCAAATAGTGCAGTCCAAAAATTGCAGCAAATTTTGAAACAGAACCCTTGGAAACATCAATAAAAAATCGACTTAGTGTTTTGAAAAGGGTGGACACCCCATAAAACTCCGTCAGTTCAGTAACTGTGTCAAGGATCAACTGTCAAGCACCATTCTGGTTGTTTTTACCGTAGTGCATACCACTGACAAAAGGCTGACCGAGAGAAGGGTACATTTTGTGGGAGACTGGGCCACATCTGGGAATGCGAGTTGTTAAGGGTCTGAATACCATCAAATTTCACTTGAATGTCGACATTTCTTACCGCAGCACAAAGCCCTCGGTACTGCCTCAAGAAGGTAGACGCTCGCCCCACAGGCCTTCTATCGCACACAACACCGACAGAGAGTTCACATTACGGGTCCATCGATAGAGACGGAGTAAAGTGCCTGAATTCGTCAGACACAACCGTTAGACTGGAGAGACGTAAGTTTAACCCTTCTGAAATCAAACAAAACGCCGTCGAAATATTCCTACGCATGGGTGAGTAGCTAACAAAGGATACTGTTGAGGAGCAATGTGAGCGTAAGCAGAGCATACGGATTGGTCGCCTCAGTGACTAGCACTGGGCTATCTTGCGATGAAAAGCCGTGTCGTCTGTAGTAACCGAAAGGCTTTCCCAAGAACCACATTGGCGAATGATCATCTAGTGCCCAAGTACTGACAACAGGAATTGGTGAAACCTCCGGCAGACAACGCTGTACCGAGTGGCCCGGTTTATCTCCTGGGGCAGTCAACTGCGGCATAGCTGGAGCTCGGCGCCCGCCTGATTACGAATCTTACCCTCAGACGTTTGACAAAAGTCATTGTGGACGCACTCGTTTGTCGGGCAACAAAAACAGCCTGTTGCTGCTAACGCCAACGTACTTTCCTAAATACCTTATTCTCGAAGAGCCTTGCGCGCAATACGAACGAATTCTTGGCGCACTGACGATTACTTGAAGTGGAAAAATATCGTCTACAATTTTCGTAGACGTAAACACATCAGACATAAAGCATAACACAGCAAACAAAACTCACTCAGCCACATGTGACGGTAAGCAGAAGACAGTTTTCTGCGGCTAATGGCGCAGCACACTAAAAGCCACTAAAATCGGGACAGCTTACATTTTGTAGAGACCCGAAAAGGCAGGGCACTGTGGTTTTTAATACTGCGAGAAAGATAAAGAAGCTTTGATTACTCTTAAACGTCTCAATCTCCCCCAGTTTCAAAGACTTCTACTAGTTCGGAAGTTCACAGATTCCGCACATGTTCTACACCCAGGCGTGACGCGTTCTAACAGGTTTGGTTGATGCTTTAATGGCTTCCTCCGAAGGTCTGATCTGCTTCTTCACCCTTCTCGAAGGGTGGCTGGCCTCGGCTCGTGTTGGGGATTCGTGCGCCCCTTCTCAAGTGTACTACGTTCCATGATCTTACCAAGTCGGATACATAACAGGACTGCACGAGGTCATTCCATGATTGGTCAGAATATCATCCAACCTATTGGCCAATCCCTTTTCGAATCTAACCTCGTGAGGTCTTCTGGTCGATTCTCATGATGCACGACAAGTACGCTCGCCGAGTCCCCCCGAATGACAAATGGACGCACTTTTCGTCATTCAGAGGATGTTGCCAGTCCGGAAACTACTGCTTTACGGCGTCTATATCTACTTAGAAGGCACTGGCCAGTGCCTTCAGATGCCGGCATCTGAATTCCAGGATTTTACGTCGTTTGCAAGAAGTAGACATGCATGTCTACTTTCAAGTCCATGGACTTGAAAGAACGTCTGGAGGCTGGTTAACATAGATCGGGGACCGAATTGGTCCCAAAACACAGCCTTGAGGAACTCTAATCGAGAACGGAGCCAGAGAGCAATAGGCCGAGTCTATGGGCTCGAGAGAAAGTATACTTAACAAAAGCTTCGGTTGGGGCACCCTGGCCATTGCAAGCATTTCAATTAACATCAGAGACAGCAACATCAGTGCTGACACTGATACTTCACTGCCAAACAACCACAAATTTCATGTAATTATATTTAAAGTCTTGGAGTGAAAAAAAGAAAAAGGGTTAATGAGGGAGCGGGGCTATTCACCTCTGTGTCAAATATTATGAGGTGCCCACACTTCCAAGCGATCAATCAGGCACTGAAAAGAAACTGACAGCACGAACGCCATTGATATCGATCCGCCACCATTTCTTGCAATGTCTCCAGTCAAGCGCTAGCGGAGTCTCGGGAATCCCATCCTGGAAGGCGTACAACACCCAAACTCCTTGTAATCACTCTCACACCCTTCTACCAAGTCATATGTTAGCCATCTATCAGTTTGCGCCATTCTGAGAACAACACTAGTCTCTGTAGAGGCTGTTTCGGCATAGTAGTATATGGTAGTATATGGTATATAGTAGTATGTGGCCTAGCTACCACAGTTGACGGTGCTGGATGTTTCCTGCGATTCAAGTGTCTGATACACAACCGCATACCTGTTTTTTAATCACCTGTTTACTAATCCGTTGACGCCATCCAAAACAAGCAACGTTTCCGACACATCGGTGGTAAAAAACCCGAAGACATCTGTTTGTAGAGACAACGTCTCGCAGCCGTGCATAATGCAAGCGGTAATAACGTTTGCCACATCAACCATCTAACGGTGAAATCACTTAAACCGCCTCATTTGCTGCATACAGCAAAGCGGCCAAGGGACAGTCTTTTATTGACACCCACTTTTTTGTTGGTCTCACCCGTGGGGACGTCACTCATGCATCCAAATAAGTGTCTAATAAGACCCCACTGCTCTGGCCCACCGCTCCTCAAGCTCGTTTCCTTGCCTTCATTTCTACCCCAACGTGTGAATTCTGAAGCAGATCGGCCAATAAGCTGCTTTGAAGTGCTGCGCTTTTGTTACTTTGGGGCTCGATAGATAGCTCAGTGTTCAATGCACAGAGATATCAACTGGAAGGTCCGTCTTCCGAAACCGGCCTGTGCATTCAAACTGCTTCTGCCTAGGCTTGGGCAGTCTGGCAGTAGCTTGGCCATCGCGCTTGTTCATGTGACGTGGCGGATAGGCACCGAAAGGGTGTTTCAGCTGAACTATTATTATTCCTTCCTTTCTGAGACCAGGAATCGGTAATCGAGGTTACGACACCGCTTTCTGGTGGCAGATATCTGCGAATTTCGGTGATTCTCCTCCCTCTGCAATGGATTGGACAGAATTTGCTCTGGATGTCAGCCCCCGAGCCGAGTTTTTCCTACTTGACCGGATTTTTGTAAATAATCGCTTTTTAAATGTCAGTTTATCAACTTCCATGGAGAACCACACTAGGCGGAATAATATCTGCTCCTCATATTTGGCTTCTGCATGTGCACGAAATAAGTATAGCTGTGTTTCGTTGGAAGATGCTTTTTGTCCGAATCTGACCACTATTGTATATCACTATGGGTTCGGATGTTTTTCTAGTCACCCGTGAATGAGTGCACAAGTAGGATGTCTAGTTTCATCGGAGGGGCGACTTGGTGACCTGATCGGCTTAGGCTCAAGACGTAATGACAGCGCTTGTCGTTTTTTGTGGCTTTGTTTCGACTGTCATTTGTTCATCAGTGGCACCGAGTTCAGAATCAGTACACGGTTGCGCTACCTGCTGCCCCCTGTTAGTGAGCAGCCATGGAACCAGACCGACTACATGAACATTATCTGCCAATTGGTACTCTATGTTATAGACTATCAATCCACGCTGACTGAGATCATGATGTAGGTTGGTGTAACGTTTCGATAAGTTTTCCTGAGAGGCATAGGAAAGCCGCACCCCGTTTAGCCGGCAAATAAATTATTGACCCGCAAATTAAACAATCTTATCAACTTAGCTTATGTTTAATTGGATTTGTGCGGCAGCTGTGTACTACACCATGGCCGGACGATTGTTATGCTTAAGTTATGATTATGTGTTCTCCGCGAAGCTCTAAAAATAGCACCTTCGGGAAATATCTATCATATATGAAGTGAGGTAAACGCGACTCAACATATGTTCCTGAGACCCCGTCCAGTAAATGCTAGAACTCAGAACAGATCGTTTGTTCCGCAACGCGAGACTGCGTCTCTTCGTACACTGCGCAGGGGTATTGTACGTTCAGATAGAGAAAACTACTTTAATAAGAAGGCTTTGGAAACGGAGAGGGTATCGCAACCGATGCACGAGGTTGAACAGAGGAAACCGGCTGTCGGTGGGGTCATCAGATAGAACTTTGGAAGTTTAGTAGACAACGCGGACCAGCGTCTTGACAGCTCTGCTGGGTATTTTTGATTGCCATCTGTCTTAAAGCTCTGTTGGGTCATTGAGTCAGACGAGTTCCCACTAGAGTTATTTGAGGACGGTGGTGACTTTTTGCGTCTCGCGTAAGCCAGGTTATGTAAACTAATCTGGAAGCTATTTTTACGGGCTTCGTGCCAATCGTATCACGTCCAATACCTTCAATAATACGGCGACGTTTGGTCCAACACTCGGGACTAAAGTCAGAACAACGAGCACCGTGATGTTTTGACCACTTCTTCACCTTACTCCAATTACTTCAGCAGCTTCACGTACACCACCGGTTATTGCGACAAGTCGGCACCGCCCGTTTGTTTTCATCTTGCACTAGAGTTTTCCTTCATAATAAGAGAATGATTCTTGATCTGTAATACCCCTGCGGCACCTAGCTGCCTTGCATCTCGAAGGAAGCAGGAGGGTTGAGATGCTATCAGGTTGCCCAAGCCTAGACAGGAGCAGTCAAGATGTCGAGGTTGGGTTCGAATCATGGACCTTCTGGTCAGTAAATTTGCGCTTCAATCACTGAGCCATCTCCATGGTTGTGACGGTTATTGGCCGATATTGGCGTATGGCCTTCCACGATTTTGACGGTAGATTGGAGGATTTTCTACGACTTCCACTTCCTGATGAAAATCCCGATTTTTTATATTTAGTGTTTTGACCAAGCGGATATCTCGTTTCTACGGGGCTCTGTTACTGTGACTTCTCGCTTACCATTTGAACTTTGACAGGCACAGTGTGCTGATAGCCTCAATCCAAGGGGATTTGGACGCTTTTTTCACTAATGACTGATCACTTCAGAGCCCATTTATAAACACATAGATTGAAACTCACTACAACGTACAAATGGGTCATCCAGGATACATGTCATGGTTGCTATCAGCTGGTCTATTCGGGTTTGTCGAACTTGGAGTACCTGGACGCACTGACCGCATGATACCTCTTTTCGGATGTAACTGAAAAACCAAGGAACGTTGAAAGTTAGACACGGTGCTCATACAGGAGCCCCTCGGGTGGATCGAACTGTAATATCCATCCTGGGCGTTCAACACCTGAAGGGGCCAGTTGAGGCAAATTTTTTGTCGGGTCGTCCTTATAGGCCACTCGTAAATTAATATATTTGTCGATCCTATTTTCTCAATTGAACTTCCTTCCACGGAGCTCCTTGGAGCTTATCACAACTTGAGCGTTTGCATATTAAGCCGACTTGACAGTTTTAGACAACCATTTGCTCCTAACTGTTCTCTTTTTAGGTTTAACTGAGCGAAGCGGCCCTTTGGAAAAGCGCGATGTCCAGTATTGACAAGGCGCTTAGGCTTCTTAGAAACTACCCTCGGGTGTGTCTGTTCAATATTGCTGACCTACCACGCAGCCGGCCCCCAGTAAGGTAGTCACTTTTATTCTTTCAGTACTTTCTAGCGCTATCATGGTTTGAACCGGAAGAAGAAGGGACTGGGTCATCGCGGAATGAGCCAGTTCCAAGCGTGGCCACCTCTCGGGCAAGTGGGCCAGAAAATGCCATTTTATCTAAGTGTACCTAAAGAGCCATACAACACGGACGTTGCGTAATTACGGAACATTTATCTAACCCATCATTGTGCGTCAGTTCTAGAAGATCACTTTGCAGAATATCTCTCTTAGAACTTCAACGTATGATTGATCTTGATCGCATCGACCCACGGGAACCGATAGATCTGACAACAATTTGCAACACTCACTTGTACAAACTTGATGTGGAGCATCAGCGTCACTATGGCTTTCAGCTGACAGACGAGGCATGTTGTTCAGTTAAATGATTTATCTTATTTTAACCAGGGTTGTGATATCTTCGTTACACCAGTCAATATTGAAGTTCAATATGCAAGTGAGCCGGTAATTGCAGCAGTGGAGCGTGCTGGTGGAGTAATCACAACAAGGTTCTATGACCTGTTCTCTGTATGGGCAAAATGCGATCCAGCATCTTTCTTCAAACGAGGATTTCCCATACCAAAGGCCAAACTGCCTCCTCCCGTAAGTGATTCCGTAAAAAACTAGGCTTGAAATATTTTTTGTCAACTTGTTACTGTTTCTCTTTAGACGGACTGTGACGAACTAAGGCTACAATATCCCAAAATGATGGGCATGTTGTGTCCCCTTGTGTTGTATTTGTGTTCGTTGCCTTTTCGTGTTGGAGTTCACTCAAATGCAAGGGTTTGAATGGTTATCAGGAGGTATAATCTGTGTGTGTATCCGTCTAACGAAGCCCGCCTCACTATGTTTACGAAACAGCTTTTGCGGTAAAATGCAGTATGAATCTACTGCAGTGGATTTATTGGATGAGACTACCCTTAGAATCTAACAGCTGCAAGGACAGTGCTATTCCGTCGCTTTCTGTAAGTCCCTGCTTTTTCGCAGATAAGCTTTGCATCAGCTTTGTTAAACATCAGGCCTGTCCTCCCGCAAAAGTTAGTTACAATAGGGTGAAAACCAAGTATTACTTAAGATACCACTAAGCTTCTTTCAAGTTTCGGCTTCTTCCCAGAGTGGACCACTTTCACTGCAATAGGCTGCTAAAGAACGGTTCCATTGGGGGTACAACAGCTCGATCACGTTTGTGCTCTTTGTTGAACCTCTTTGAGTTTGAATACCTGGGTGCGGCGGAAGCATGCCGCACTTCCATCAGAAACAGTGTTCGAAACCATGTACAGCTGCACTCTAGCCGTATTTCTGAATATGGCGCATTCCAAAGCGCACCCCGACCTACTGTCTCACGGCAACCAGATGGTGCGTATATCTCTTTTGACACATTAATGGCCGTGTGACGCACAACTGTATCACCAACGTCTCGTCTTAGCCAACTATTGGTTGTGATGTCCAGCCTTGCCAGTCAGTCATGTTGTTTCGAATACCATACGGTTCGCAGTCGCTGCGTTTATTATGTTCTCTCATATGCCACATATATGCTATGTAAGACTTGCTTTTGTCAGTGCAAAAGCAGACGTTACAGTTCAGCTTTCACAAGACGGGAGTGATCATAAACAGAATAATGGACTAGTTAAATATTGAAGAGACACTGATGCAGTCTACCGCACTGAGGGCCAGAGTCACTGGTAAGTTGAAACCCATAGTGCGCCCAGCTTACGGTGCCTATCTGCCATGACACCCGAAGGAGGCACGAGGTCTGCGATACTACCAGGCTGCCTAAGCCTAGACAGGGGAAGTCGAGAGGTATAAGTCAGGTTAGAACCATGGACCTTCTGGTCGGTAAATTCGCGCTCTAACCACGTGAGCTATCTCGCACCATAGTGCGCTAAGCGTTGCACACAAATGAGAGCAGTTGACTCACATCAGGCTTATAGTTGCTAATTTTTGTATCGGCACAGTTTCTTTCTGCTAGAGGGTGGTTACCAAAACAAGTTGGATTGGTGCGGATACATATGATGAGTTCACCACTATTTTTGTGCTAAAACCCTATTTCTGGTAGCTTCGTTGCTCCAGTTGTCTGTAAATCACCCAACCACAGCCACTTAAAACCGACCATAGGTGACCATCTGAATGTGTCCGCCGCGTGGTGACGACCGCTAGTACACATATTAGGATTCGGCCATATTGTCGCATTGACAATGGCTTTTATGGTGCGTTACAGGGTGTTATAAATCCGGGTAGTGCACGAATAACAGTCGGGACAAACCATTTTCCGAAAAGATGCAGCACTATGTTTCCGTAGCTGGCACTTCGAAACCGTCTTGGGAATTTCTCTCTCAGAAACATAGGATGCTATGGAAAAAAGTCAGTTTTCGGTGCACTTTGATGGCCAATTTTTCGGTTCGGTTAGAGAAAAAGACGACGAAATTTGCACCGGTTCTGTAATCTTAGCTTTCACACCAGCACATCGTGGGTTCGGTCGCCTTTTTCGCCTGTTTGATATTTGGTGTTTGATCTTGAGGTCAACCGATTCTCTGACGCTGATTTCGAATGTTACGACATAAGCATCCAACTGCCACAATAGAGTCGAAGTTGGATGCTCCTACAGCCACTTAGTCGACCTGCTACTCAGGCAGCTATTGCCGTGGAATCTCTATTCCCTCCCTTGTCGTGATGCGAATGCTGGTATCCTGTGTTTTAACCGGCTTGTCAGACTGTCGGTTCTATCTCTGGAGGCTAGCGAGACCCTGATCCAAAACAACCAATTATATATATATATTCAGATAATTCTCAGAAAATCATAAGGGTAAGCAGGCATTTTTTTTAATAAGCCTTTTGCACTTGGGCGGGATGGCTCAGTGGTTAGAGCGCAAAATTTACCGGGAGGTCCGTGGTTCGAACCCGACCTCTGATTCTCGACTTCCACCGTTTAGGTCTAGGCAACCTGGCAGTATATTAGCCCTCGTGCTTCCTTCTTATAGCACAGCAATCAGGCACGAAAAGGGTGCAGCAGGTGACCGATTTTTCTTTCAGGTCGACCTTCATGTGAATGAATTGAGGACTCACTTCCGCAGGTCGCTTCGCCCATACCCACTATCTTCTAATCCTTGACTCAACAGTCACAACAGGAGGCAGGGATTTCTTCAGGGGCCGTCGAGCTTAGCTCGCCGGGTAATAGTGGTATACAGACCCGACCACTGCGTCAAATTGGCAAGTGTTGGTCGACTGCTGTCCCAGCAATTAGCGGTCGACTGACAGTCCTGTCGTGATAACCACTGATATGCTATCAGTCGGTCATTTGGCCGTCAATGTAGAGGCGTAATTATGTTACTTTGTTTATGGTAGTAACACCGATGAATCCTATCTCGAAATCACCCGCTTAAAACGAAGCATTGGCTTGTGTTAATGAAAAAATTAAATAATCGTTCAGCTGCAACGTCTTTTAGGCGAAGGAAGCACGAGGGCTGAGATACTATCGGGTTGTCCAAGCCTAGACAGGGAAAGTCGTAAGGCAGAGGTCAGGTTCGAACCACGGACCTTCCGGTCAGAAAATTCGCGCTCTAATCACTTGGACCATCTCGTCCTTGTGTTAGCCTATTGCCCGAATTCTTCTATATGTAACTGATACCTGTTCACAGTGATGTCTGCGAGGCCGACACATTATAAAACGCTTTTAAAAGATCATAGTGCTAGAAATTGTTAGTTTGTTTTTGAGTTGACACCCTAAATGTTTGGAATGGAAGAATTTATCCTACATAAAGAACGTTGCCGTGACCGTGTTGTGTTTTGCCTTGCCACACGTTCACGGTTGTTCGACTTATCAGTTGGGATCTTTCGTGCATGAAATAGTATTTGGGGGGGGGGGGACTCCTATGTGACCACAAGGTCACATTTATTCGGAATGTTTACTCCGTTTGTTCTTTCAGGATGCAGTACCATACTACGCAAGCGCCGAAAACAGAGGGTATTTGGCTGATCCAGAGGAGCTGGCTGCGGCCCGCTTATGGCTGGCCCAAAAGTACGGCTACTCGTTGACAGACAGAGCTTCCCAGTCGGAAGATATGCGGACCTTAATGTCAATACGCAAACACCCGAGACAAATTTTCCTTGGGCTTGATCCAGGCGATCTTGTCAGCTTGGCCGATGAGGTTGTGCTAAAACCACATCATGAAACGGAAGAAGAACAGAATCGATGAACTGTGGTGATTGGTGGAATTAATTATGGTCTGCCTGTCTAGCCCGAGTAAATTGTACATTCATATTCCGCTTTCATTTCTGAATGGGAGTGTATGGTTTGTCGCATCGGAGTAGCACCCATGGCTGGTTGATATCTTGTTATTCTCTGGAACGCCTTCATTGTCCGGCTCAACTCCCATGTAGCTGTTTGTATGCGGCAGAGGTTGCTTTTCCATTGTTAATCAGGTGCCTGTCTATCTGTCCACGATCTTGGCGATTGGCTTGCAGACGTTACGTCATCGATTGACACATTCTCAACGCGCCCGCTGATGGTAGTTTGGCTGTTAACACAAAAACACAACCGGTGCGGCACCAAAGTTTGTGTTTTGGTTTATAAGGAGGTCGGGATGCATCTGTGGCGACGCGAAGACGCCTAAAGTCCTCAGCTGTTGCCTTTGGTTGCAATCAACCACAGGGTATGGATCGTTGGTGTGCAACTACTTCATTAGTTTGATTTCCAGTCAGTAGCCAGCATAATTATTCCAGCTCCCAAAGATGAGTCGAGAAACCATTGGTCCGATTGGTAAGAATGGTTGCTACTTAGATACCCCTAGCATGTCTCGAGGGGCTACCAAGGTGCGAAAACCGCAACGTTGTGAGAAATACGGGCTAGAAAAACTTCGCAACCTCTCTTCAGAGAGATTTCTATGAAGTGTCCATTTAGCGCAAAATAAAATAAAATGCCGAAATAAAAGTCATTTCAAGGACTTTCGTACACCTAACCTGGGACGTTTGGTAAGAAAATTAGCATATAGTGTACTACCTTTGTTGTTGACAGAATTTACGAACATGGGGATCCCATTAAATAATACCGATCGTTTGTGCACGCACGTTGGGAACCGGGAATAAGATAACTGCCGGTGCAGGTTAGTGTTTTGGCTGATTGGCACTCAGGCGACATCGCCTATTGCTGTCGATATCGTATTGCTGACCGACTGGTTCGCGCTTCTTTCACAGTCCTTATGACCTAAAGCGATTAGATCTGGCGAACAGTTGGACTGGGCAGATTGATTAAACAAGCGCATTCGTTTTGTGTTTCGTCTGGCTAGCTGTTTAACACTATTGATCAACTTTTTCAGGGGGATTTAAATTGCCAGGGCATGCTCACCAGCATGTTTTCCACCACCAGACAATATACTTCTGATCAGTCAGCTTTAGTCGATTTGGTTGCATTCTTGTGTTTGATAGAGGGTACCTGGGAGGATCCCCGTAAATCGGTCCGAATCTGTCCGAATTTAGTATCACGAGAGGCGTGTCATCCTCATAGAATTAACCGACTGCAAGTGCGAGGTCATAGAGAGTTGAAAGCAACCATACATCTCAATATCCTCTAATCTAACCCGCCTGTGTATTGCATTTGATCAATTACATTTAGCAGGGCCCTGTGGCGGAACAGATCCCCTTCATACAACTCGTGAGTACATAAAAGAAACATGCTTGACGCGGTAAAATACAGTGTGCATTCTACGACGGTGCGCATTAGTGTGCTAACACTGCCTTTCCAGAACAGTCGAGATGGCACCCACAAGATGTGTCCTGTTGAGGTGACGGGTTTCAAGCCTATGTTTTGTCCCATAGTCTGAGTGATTAAACTGGTCTGTTTGTGCTTTTCATTTGCGCCTGTAATATGTTTGCTTCGTTCAGATATCGTCCTTTGTTCTAAAGCCTCACCCTGGTATGGGTGAGGCAACTAGTAACAGCCGATACGCTCGGAAGGCTAGCGTTAAAATGGAAATAGTTTCGAGCTTGTTCTCATGGATTCAACGAAGAAGAGTAAGCAGGAACAGTCTCACTTATCAAGTCACTCGTAAAATCGCCTGAATTTCGATTAGCCTCATCCATATGGCGACAATACAACGCCCCAACGGCCAGGTGGCTTGTAATCACATTTTTGGTTGTTGGTCTGTTCGCCGAGCTTGGCAGTTGGATTTCAAAAGTTTCATCACCAGTCGAGGTGACATCGTCAGTGCAGGGTTGAGTGGGTCACTTTTACAAAACTGCTTCTTACCTCACCCTCCATTTTATCTAAAATATGCAAGAGGTTTCACAAAGTTAAACTCCACAAAGGCTGCAGCTAACCTGAGTGAAGGGCGGGACTGCAGCAATTCGTAGTGTGCGAAGAAAGAAGCTACAGCAGGTTATGCGAAAATGTAAAAGACTGCTAGTATGATATTACGAAGCTGGTACTGATCAACTACTGCATGGTAAATTAGCAACGGACATTTCGGGTATGTATCACTATACATGTAAGAAAGTCGTTATGAAGGATAACCTAAAATGAATTCTTTCGAACAGATGAAACATCTACGGTCATATTGTAGAAATAACATACGGGAAGACAATAGATGAAACTACCTAAATTTGAAAGGAAATAAAAATTACAAGAGTAACATTTGCGCCGATTTTGACTGAACGTGAGTTGGTGCAGAAAGCATAGTGGACAGATTATCACAGGAGAATAGGCATTCATAGAACTCTGACCTCTTCATTTCATGACTGTAGTTCAATTCGCTGAGAGATATAACATCGACATAGCGGACAGACCGTGACCCCATTTGCGCAGGCACTGCAAGTGCATACATGGCCACATTGAAGAAATACAACGGAACACTGAAGCAGACAGAAGAGGGATAGAAATCAATGCACCACAGGACAAAAGAGTAAAGCTCCGAGTAAGAAGCTATAATAAAGCACTTCCAGATTTGTGCCTTTTTAGCCCTTATAGACAAACCCTTCGAACATCGACAAGATTTTGTTGCTCTTTTCACAGAACGTAAGTTGCCGTCCAACAGACTGTCATTAGGATACATCTACGGAAACACCTAAGCTGGAATCAATGTGAGTTCCAGCACTCCAACCTGGCAGCGCACGTTACCCACTAGGAACACTAGTGAGACAGCACCATAAATGCGAAGCAAAAACGGCCTATCCTATGTTGCGATAAGGTTTATTGATTTCAAATAATCCTGATTGGATACCCGCTGATAGTCGCTGTTCATTTGGCAACGTCTGTGAGAGAATCTCGAGAAAGTGAAGCCCATCGAATAGTTTATTGTGTCTGCTTGGACTGCAGCCCTGAATATGGTAAAAGCAGTTTCTATGGCTCTTCAGATGCTCTTTTACAGCGGGCTAAAAGCTCCGACATCGTTGTGGTTGCTGGCGACATGAACGCCGTGCTAGGCAGGAGGCCCGATCAGGTGATCGTCTTGAGTTGGATACAGGACGCACAGAAAACACAGAGCGCTTGCTTCAGATGGCAACACCTCACTTAACCACTTAGGAGCTAGTGGACGCAGAAATCAAAGGAACCTACCAGAATCGGCTGCTCGAACGCCTGCTGGATGGTCCGATTTCGGGAATTAATGGTCACTTTGGACAGATATTCAAAGCACTACTGAAAGCCGTGACTTTCGTTCTAGATGCAACCCACCCAATGTCATACAAATATTGGATCTCTGTCAGGACTGTAGGTTTTCTGGAAGCCGGGCGACAGATTTTTCCTGGCTCACAGCTCAACCCGACGCCAGGTAGAACCGAGTGTCCCTAAAGGCGAAGAAATGGAAGGGGTAAAAATGCTGGAGACGTCCGCAAGCTGTTCCACTTGATCTGTTCGACTGGAACCCTATTGTCAGCGAAGCTATCAAGGACCAGAATGGCTCTTTGATATCCACCAAATGGGAGCCTTTGGACAGCCGGGCAGTACTTCGAAGAAAAATGCAGCTGGCCGTCTGCTATCCCCAATCCAAATTGCCAGCCTTTAACAGAATGGTAGACTATGAACATCGGGCCCTCCTCTACCTCAAAATTTTCCGAGTGTATATCTATACTCAAGAGTTGTTGTGCTCCCGGTTCCGACGACCTTCCACTTGCTCTGTTCAAGGATGGTAGTGGATCCTTCAGTCATTACCTTTATAACCCATTTGGATCTCTCTGAGAGAAAGAGATCGTCCCAGAGAGCTGGTGTTTCGTTGACTTCAAGAGTGCATTCGATTCTGTCGATCGGTCAGTGCAAACTTGCCCACTCAGGAAGTTATTGAACATAATCCCATCTCTATATTCACATACATCTGGTGAGCTTCCCAAAAGCTTTTCTACAACGATGCGGTCCAACAAGGACATCGGCTATCTCCGTCGTTGTTCACCGTTGATGTCGATGAAATAATGAGGCAAACGCCGGAATGTCTTCAAACTCCGGTGTTCAGATTATTGATGGTGAGAAACCTGACGATCTGGAGTACGCAGACGACACCGCCGTCATCTACGAAGACGGAGGAGCACACGCCTTGTTAAATATGCGGTATCTGAATACAACCCTCACAATTTGAGGAGAATCATTTGGGGGTTGTGGGGAATTCTACGTACTTCGGTGGTTGTGTAGAAGTGTATGGTGAAGTCAGTGCGCGAATCTCAGGCCGAAATCACGTTCGCTCTTGTGGCAACGTTCGCAACTTGTGGCGTCAAAAAGGTATGCTACTGGGTCTCAAGGGTCGCGTGTACCAGGACTACGTTTTATGGTTGCGAAGCGCGGTGTCTGCGTACAGATGTGAGGCATTTCCAGGTTTTTGACCACAGATGCAACATAAGTGTTGCTGGGATCGGACGATATCAACGGATTCGTAACGAGGTAATGAGAAGACGAGTAGTTGGTTGTGCAGCAGGTACTTCAGTTGTGGAGAACACCCAGCACCATCAGCCAACGTAGCTCGGCTAATAGCTGTCCATGCTGAAACAGCGTTTACCAAGACGAGTGCTTTCCGTGCCTCCTTTAGAATGGCGTAAACCACAATGTGGGCAACGTATGACTTGGCAGAAGGGTGTGAAAGTGATCACGAAGAGTTTGGGTATTAGACGTCTTCCAGGATGGGTCTCCGTGACCCAGCCCGTGCTTGGCTGGAGACACTGGGAGAGATAGAGGATGATCGATTTCAGTGGCGTTCGTGCAGCCAGTTTCCTTCCAGAGTGTCTGATCGCTTGGAGTTGTGAGTACCTCAGAATGCTTGACACAAACCAGCAGTAGGGTCCCCTCTTTTCACTCTGAGGCTTTAAATGAACTTTATGGTTGCACGGCACTGAAGCATCAGTGTCAACACTGATGTTGCTGTCTTTGATGATGGTGGTGCTTCCAAAAGGGATTTGTGCTAGATGGGGTGTAACGATACGCGTTGTTATACCGCGCTCCGATTATATTGGTGACCCAGGGGTAGAAATTTTTATCAGAAATATACGTTTGCTCACATGGTATACGCTTCAAAGTAGATCGCAAAACGAAACTTACAGATGCATCCTGACAAACACAGCACTCATTTTCTGTACGGGCAAGTATACGCGAAGGCGCTGATGGCACCGTTTCGATTAATGGAGGGGCAGATGGTGCAGAAATGCGTTCAACAGTGTGGTCGGAAGAAAGCTTCTGTACAAACAAGAGTGAAGTGGAAAAATAGTCTTTAGCACCGGTTATGCTCGGCTCATCCGCACTGTTATGGTGGTCATTACTCTTCAAAAAAAAGAAAGCAAGGCGAATGAGACTTGTGGACCATCACGGGCACATTAAGAAAGGTGAACTGGGCACGCTCACTAACAACGTGGGTTGGTGGGCAATCTCCGAAGAGCGGGATATCAGTTCGGATAAGGTGTCACAATCGGCGAGTGTATACGTGGTCTAATCTAAACGCGTTCAATTTTTAGCGAAATACATTCATCTGCAAACTAATTTGGTTTTACGAGGGACTAACCTGAAACCCAGCTGAATCTCTCGTTTGTGAGGTTTCCATTTTATTGTGAACACAGTGTGAAGGTGCAGAATGCCAGTAAAACATCCTACTTCGCGGACCATACAGTTGAAATACCAAAGTACTCGTTGCAACCACAGCGTCAAAAGTACATGTCTCACTATAAGTGCCGACAGCTAACGAGCTGGGCTCTAAATGTTATCTCAACGACGCTCATCAGATGAGTGTGACAAAACTATCCGGTAAATAAATTATTCAGTTCAGTTCAAAAATGGCACATGGTTCAGCTCTTCGAAGTAGGAAAAAATGGATGTCGACCCAGATAGATAAATTGAATAGATAATCAAAAGGAAGCTGACCCGCCCAAGACCGGTTTTATCCATTTCCACGAGCATATAGCTGCAACCGGGAGCTGCCACACATTGAATGCCGAGCACATTTGAGTTAACCTAGGCATTGAGTCTATAAGTCGGTTGATGAGAGCACACGTGAAATCCGAGATGAATAGTGTGTCCTCACCCGAAACATAAGATAGTCAAATCCAAGTGAGATGGGTGGGACAGAAAATCACCCAATGCCGTGAATGAGAGGATCCGATGTTTCGTTAGATCGGCTAAATCTGGTCGACCGAGATAAAACGACGCTACACTAGCGTAACTTTTGAGAACAACAAGAGGCCTTTAATAATAGGGGCTGAGGTGATGGATCTGTGCTGATCAGAGCTGGTGAAAAATGTAAGCTAGCTATTTCCGGTTGTAAGAGAAACGGCGGAAATATACGTCGAAATATGCAACAGCACCTGTTACCCCTCACAGCTACTTCAAAATATATCGGAATTTTTGACGAGCCAAATCACTGCTTAACCTAATTGAGAATGGTCCACATGTTATCGGGAGGAATATTTCTCCCAAAGACACTTGGCTCGTAACTAGGAGGAAACCAAAGCGAACATCATCGGAAAACTGTTAGACAATATGTTCGAACGTTGCATGTTTGATTTGTTGAATTATTATTCGTATTACATTTCTAACACGGGTCCTGTAATTAATAGAAGCTGGAGTTGAATTTTTTTTAAGTATTCGCACCCTGAGAAGGGAGTCCGCTAACGCCCGAGTTAATTGCATTTAGACAAAAGCAAAACCAAAGCTGTGTACTTCATGTATGAACTAGCCGCTGTTCCAAGTCTGCCAGCTCTAAGTTTCAAAGTAACTGGGAATAGACGTCAGCATAGTCTCGGATGGGCGCGGAGTGACTGTGTGGAATGAAAAGAAGCAGAAGTATGGTGCTGATGAATATTTCCTCGCCACAATTTCAGCCCTACATGCCATCGGTTGTGATGTCGACTTTTTGGTTCACCAATCGATGATCATCTCTTATGGAGGGATCTACTTTCCTCAATCCGCTAAGGCTGTTATTGGACTGGGACTTCCTAAGGTCGCAGTCAGTGACTTGTGTTTGCCTTCATTGTGGGCTATCTGCGTACGTATGACACTTTTATGCGTGGCACATGGCGTTGAATGTACATTTTCGCCATTTAATCTCACCAGACCCAGTATGATGATGTGCGAGTCTTGATTGTGCTAGTGCCTACCGCGCCTCGAAGAGCATTCACCATTGTTCGTCCTTTCTTCGGTTGTTGGTCTTTAGACGCGTGTTTCCATATCAAAATCTTTACATACTTTGGGATTCATCTCATCAGACTGGAACTGTTCTTGGCATGATTTCGAATAAGACGTTTCTCTCTTTTCTCCCACATTCTCCTGTTTCTCTTCCGCATTTATCGCTTGCATTCACTTTTATGTTTGTGACCATGCTCTTCAAAAATAAATGATGATAATAAAAATAAATGATAATATTATAGCAATAATCGTACTCCTACTCGCTATGAATTTGTAATGACGTACAATGTCCGCCAGTTTTGATGCCTGGATTTGATCGGCCACAGCGCCCAGGATAGCCCGACGGACTCCAGCAGCATATACGCCAATCTGGAAAGTAACGCAAAAAACGAGGTGCAGAAATCTACTCTGGCCATAAGCTTATATATGTGTGCGATCCCTGAGCGATATCAAAGATTACTACAGGTATACACAGTATGTCAGGATAGGTGACAGTCACCAGTAGTACCGGAACGAAGGAACGACCACTCGGCAATGAAGGTTTGAAATGGATACTTTGATTCCGTCAGGAACGCCCTACAATTAATTCCAGTAGCGCATGTTCTACATTGTTGTTGCTTTTGATGGTGTTGGGAAGGCATTCGCTTGCTCGTTTCATCCTATTCAGATTTCTTGGTAAACTCCCTCAATGGGGTTACACTGAAAACACACCACCGCATTGACCTAGATGGATTCCCCAGTGAGAGTCGCGTGGGAAAATAAAAATAGAAAACAACCATAGAATGAAATTCAGAGCAACTGATTCTCACTCATCACCACACTTTAGGACTTTGAGTGGAAACTCTGATCCACAAATTAATGGGGAGATTAGGGTTTTGCTTGGGGGCCCTCCCTCTAGCCTCTGAATCACAAGTGTGGACTGCGAAGCAGCGTGCAGTAGGCTTTCCTTTGAGGCTCTTGCCCAGAGCCGATGACTCAACAGTCTGACCTGATCAGTGGCAGGCAACTGGTTTCACCCGAGGGCGCAACGCGCGAAGCATTACTGTCTCACTCCTAATGCAGCTGCACACAGCAGGTGCATTTTGAGCATCACCAGATCCTGGTTGTAGAATAATACTGACAGTATTGAATAATGTCCTGGCGATCAAGGTCTACCTTTAGGAGATCGGATGGTGCAATTTTCAGGGCTGATCTTTTCTATCCCGTCCTCCCTAGAAAGAAGACAGCATCGCTGCTCCCGTGAATGTGAACATTTCGAACCAATGGGGAAAACACCTTACTGCCTTCATACTCCCATCGCAGAGGACAATATGACTTTAATACCAGATCACCTCGTAGCACGATTACTAGTAGTACGGGGTCTCGCTGATCTTGTTTTGACTGTTCAACATTGGCCTTCCTGGCACAGTCGCACTTTTTGGAACGAATTTCCATCCACCGATCATTGTAGCATTCAAGCCCAACCACCACGACAAGCAAACGTTGCTAGGTCATTCGATTGTCAGTGACCTGACCGATGCGCGTTGTGCACTCCGCTGTCTATTAACAATAAACACAATGACACCTTGATAAATTCAAGAAATCCTTTCTACCCAGGTGCTTGTAACTTCCTGACTCTGCGTCAAGTTTGCAAACAGGCAATTCTCGCTAAGACCTTGTACCCCCCTAAAATTGATGAATGTACGTATGTCTCCGAAACACGCACACAAGGCCCAAGCGTGGTTATGCATCTCAAAGCGCCAAGGACGAACTAAGGTGTTTCACATTTCTCCTTCCGTGTGTCCGGTGATCCAGAAGTGACGACTCGTGGAATATATGGCGTGGGAGTTGCACTCAGTCCCAGAGCTGAACGCGCTTTCCCGAATAGGATTCCAGTGAACAGTCGTTTATGCGCCGTTCGGCTATCCAGCCTACTCAATATCAGTGACCCTCGACATAAAAAGCGGTGCCTGTTATTAGTGTCGGATTACGCCCCAACGGACTGCAATTCTGACGCTGAGAAGGACACTTTTTATCGAGATCTATCCGGGCTTATTGGTTAAGCAGGAAGCGCTGACACTGTGATCTTTGCGGTTGCCTGAGACTCGTGAAATCACATGTAGCGGTCAACTCGGAGTCTGTTATCGTCGTACAGACAACGGATAGCGACTGCTTACATGTGTGCTGACCATGGACTGTTTCTGGCCAGTACGAACTTTCGGCATGATTGTTTGCATAACATTGCGTAACCTAGAAGCCACCAACTGTAAATCAACCGTAGACACTGTTTGGGTCACATAGCCACCAGCCACCTGTAGAGATCTACAATTCAAGACTGTCGTTCATTCTGGGGCACAACTTGATTCCGGTCAGTCCCTAGTTCGAGTGCGCCTGATAGTTCGCGTCACTTCGTTTCGTTCTGCGATAGGATACACCGATCACGGCTTCAGTCTCCGCCAAATTCTGGAAGAGCGACATTGCTTCCAGCAACCAAAAATGGCTATCTTCCCTGACTAAAACGTTGCGTTTGACTCTGTGAACCGCCAGGCATTATGGCAGTGTCTACGGAGTAAATGTTTCCCATCCCATGAATTCATGACCCTCCATTAGGGGCTGTACGCCAACTTCAACGGACGTCTGAAAGTCTACGGAAGCTGTTGCCTGAATTCACCATATCAAGTGGTGTCAGGTCTCTTTCACCTTTCCTCTTCAACTTCGTCACTGATACAGTAATGGGGGACTCACTACCAACCACTAATGCCTGTGGGGTCGACGTGCTCCCGGGACATCCGCCCACAGATACTGAGTACGCAGACAATACAGCCCCTCTTGGATCTGCCCCGTGGTAATGCAAACAATATTAATTAGTCTAAGTAATTCCGCCTCATGGTTTGGCGTGGACATCATACCTGCAAAGTATACCACTGCAAGACTAGGCTCGAACTAAAGCGTCATGCTTGCGGATGAGCCGACTGAGGTAGCAGACAAATTTGTATACCTCGGTAGCTGTATCAGTCCCGCTGGACCCGATAGACCCAGCTGGATTGGGAGCATCCCTTGTGAACCTGCATCACACATGGCATAGGCGTGATATCAACTTCTACGTAAAGTGTCAAGCTTACAATACTGCTCTATATTGCTAGACGGGTCAGAAACCTGACCCTGCGTCAAAAGACCTTCAGCGTTTGAGTATGGATGTCTTCGGAACATTGCCCGAGTATGGTGGGTACATCGGATCGGTAAGGCTGAAGTACATCGAATGGTTTCGAGAAAAAATAACTCGTACATGATAGATAAACTGATCAGACTCCATAAGTTGCGATGGCTTGGAAACGTGGCCCGTATGCCGGTTGACTAACTCTTTCAAAGAACTGTTTCCGCACAAACGAGCAAGAGGAGCTCAAGCAATGACTTGGCATCGAAGTATAAGAACCATTACCACCAAACCCAGTTGCGCTGATGATTGCCGTCTTCCTGGATGGGAACCCGAGACGAAACATATCAATGATTTGACGCATTGTCAGACATGGCCCAGTCGGGCCCTCAATGGCGCTCATGCATCCAAGCTATGCATAGCTTTCCATCCAACCTCCAGAATGAAAAGTCCAGTGACGCATCAATTATATCACCTACCACCATTGCGTAGCCATCTACCAGCACCCCAAAATTGGCGAATGAAACTATGATAGCTACAATCACTGCACTGCAAATTTTGCGACTGATGAAGATGATGACATCCGTCAGAATTACATTCCTCAACTCTACTGCTGTCCAGCGAGGATAGAAAAGCCACCAATAACAACTAGACTAACAAGATCATTTTCAAGTGACTTACGCGTTGTAAATCGTCTTCGGTCATCCTTTGGAGAACTGTATACGTGACACGATGGTACTGAAAGTTGGAAGCGAAATCCAGACCTCCAGCCAATCTTAGAATATCTTCAACTTCAGGTTCAAGCTGAAAGACAAATAGGAAATGAGAGAACCAACACATAATGAGGGATGTCCTAAAGGTGCCCAATGGTCTTGACCCGTCGCATCTTGGAAATCACTTGAGGAATTCACCTTGTATGAGTGGACATCCGACGCTATTGTGACAGGGTCGTAACTAGCAGATGAAGGGCCAGTGTTGGATCGATAAATATCCTTATCATCAGTATAGAATAAAATGGATAATCTCCTCGATACTGACACATGAACATACATAGCGAAAAAGACATCTACAAATGCATCGCGTCCCCTCTAGTCCGGTGGTTCGACTATAGTCCTACATGGATACTTTACAAATGTGCCACTGCTGGACATCCGCAGTACAATATTTGCCGTCACATCGGCAAACCTCTTAGTGTGTGCTCTTAGTGATTGCGTTACCTATTCGTGATTTGCAAGTCATCAGCTACATCAGAATTTTCAACACAACAAAAACTCAATTTCCGTCAAAGGTTCAACCATTATGTTCCAAGGCCTAGGAAAATCTCTCACGAGCTGTGAAAAGATTGTTCAGTTATTTGTATGGCCAGGACCACAGCGGACCGCTTGCTTGCTGAAGCAATTGTCTTTTTAAGTTTTTACTAACCTAGAGGATATATAAACTCATGAGGACAACGAGTTGGTCGAAGGCAGGTAACAGGGACATTTGACGTGGCATCAGACAGGATGGCCACTGAGAAAGGCCGCCATTCAACCAATCAGGCCTAGATGAGGACTTTACTAGTAATCTATGGCTCAGAAGATGGTGGGGTGATCGGCGACGCTCTGCTATAAAAACATCCTTACAATGTAGACTATCCAAATTAATTATATATATGGATTCATACGCCACTTATTTAGTGAACTATGTTCAATAGTTAGCGACCGAGACAAGCTGCCTGTGTTCGAAAGTTTGAGTGGTCTGCTGGTGTATTATTTTAATACGTAAATGATGGGCTTACATTTGTCTTTAGCTAACGAGTTTCTTTAAGATGGTTCTTGTGGATACATTGGTCCCTCCTGCGAGGGAAGCATGCCGACCAAAAACTTAGTTTTATTTGGCAACTGAATGGAATTTAGGCCAACTGACTGTTTTCTCCTAAAGATATCCGCTATACACCTCATGATTCTCTAGGGAGATTCGAATACACACCTAACAAAACTTGAGTTGCGCGCTCAGATAGGCTTTTCTTTGATAGTCAATTAAAAAGAATAGCGTGGACTGAATCCGCTTTCATGATCAGTGACCCACACATGAGCGGTTACCTGACAGTCGATTGGCTAAAGGTCTGAGAGAGCGGAGCGCATTCAGGATACATGAAACCTGAAACTGCTGTTTCTTTCTACATTAGGTTACTACTTGAATTTGACGTTCGATTCTCAGTTTGATTAGCGTAGAAAATCTTAAGCATGTGAGGTGGAGGCAAAAAACCAGACTCTAAAATCTACCCACCTTATTAGATAATTCTGGTGGCTTGTTATCCAGGAGTCGTTGATACTGGATGAGCCAATAGTCCAGCTGATCATCAATACGGTGTTGTTCCATTTCTTTCTGAAGTGGTACATGTCATGGGGAAATACACGAGTAAATAAATGGTGATCAGCCCCCCCCCCAGGCCACCGTATTACATCAACAGCGAAAAAGAACAACAATGTAAGTGTCAACAAGTAGAACTCACTAGGCGAGCCTTCAATTCCTCTTGCCGAGTTTGTTGTTCCTTACTTAACTGAGCCAAAAGCCGGACCAAATCCGCGCGACGTTGGTTCAAACACTGTTGGTTGACTTCGGTGCGCTTGGCTTTCCGGTCTTGTTCAGCCTTGGTTAGATAACAGAGTTCCTGTTCAATTAGTACAATATCTCGCTGCAAACGTTGAGCTCGAGCATCTTGTTTTATCTGCAGTTTGGCGAAGGCTGCTTTCTGCGCTTCCTCCTGAAAAGGACGAGTGGAGCAACAAATTGGTGGGTTTAGTGGATCATGGTCGCTAAATAGACAGTCGTACGTCGGAACAAGTCTAGTCGACACAAGACAATTCTGTGGGGAGATTAAGTAGGGGAACTGAATTGAGAGTTAGCATCAAAACACGAAGCTTCCCGTTTGGAAGCATCCTTTCTCGGTTTGCAGGGATCAGGCGGACGGATGTTCAAAAGTCTTGACAACAACAACAACCCATTCCTCAGCTACCAGTCCGATTCCCAGGGCCTGAGTTTGTTTGCTGAAACCGTAAGTGACTCGACGGACAGGTCACTTATATGGATTCCTCTGTACATTCTAGAGCTCACAAGTGTCTTCATGGTACTCTGCCGGTAGAAAATGCAGTGTGTCAACAGTCTTGAGCGCCGTAAAAGGCTTTTGGTGATACCATTCAGTTCGTTCACTATTAGACAACGTAAACTAGGAAAAGAAAAGTTTCAATTCCTTCGGTACAGACTTGTAAGAAGCAGCATGTTTGTCATGTACTTGGTGTTGGAAAAAACGAAGGCAACAGTACACGGATAACAAGAATCTATGACTGTGTTAACCCTGTACATCAACTGAGTAAAATTCTCTGACAGATCTAATGTTACTTATCAAGGGTGGCAAGACCAGTGTGAAAACACTGGGGCTTAACTACCGTACAGATACATCAACTTCGTTGAACAAGAAGAAAAGGATAAAGATGAACGGATCAGCCGATTGGCTAAGTGTTCAAAATACTGGCTGAGAGGTCAGCGGTTCGACACCTTCTGGAGTTTCGTGGGATGTGGACTGCTGATGACTCCCAATAAGGATAAAACAGCTCTCAATGCATCTCCGTTTTTCGGTGTAGATGAACCTCACTTACAAGAAGAAATATCAACTAGAAATACTATAATTGGTAATGAGAAGTTCCGCGCATTTTTGTCTTAGCTTGGCACTAATTGTTTCAATTTTAACAAACTCTTCTTCAAGTTCGAAGGTGAACTGAATAGTTCGGCTGGAAAAGTTTCGATTCCCCGGCAGACGATTAATTATTGTTCAAGATAAAAAGCAAGTCCCGGTTATAATATAAGTTACCAGTGACGAAACAATAAGAACGAACCGAAATTATTGCATTCAACAAGCCTAAAAGAAGAGTCTTTCATAGCACTGGAGATCGCATTGCTTTCGGGTTAGTGAAATCTGCATCCACATCGCACCCATTTGAACAGCCCTGCTCCAGCACTCGTGCGACTATTCTGGTTAGCCCATACCGAAAAAGGAAAGTATTGGACTCGAACTTCGACTTTACTGCAGCTCATAAGCAATGCATATCTTTGGCCTGGAGCCAGGATTTGGCTTCCGAACCTTAAGTGTGCGGGCTGGGCATATGAACACCAATCCGCGTGCATGTTGGGCGAACTTGATTTATCATACTTGAACAGACGAACAGGTTCGCACTTCGCCTCACCTGTCCCAAGCCAGGGGCCCCGACCCCCGCGTGGTCTAGGAATTGCGCTACTGGTGATCTCTAATAGGAGAGAGAAACTCCTTTTAAAGTAGAATAACCAGACGCAACGAGCGAAGACAGGAGGAGAGCTACTCAAACAAGGACGAAGTAAGTCCATACAACTAATGAGCATACGGTTTTGTTTTAACTAAGAAATCAACCAGAAGTACACAAAACATACTACACAGCAATGCGCATTAAAGGCATACGTGGTCCACTGGGACCTCCAGCGTTACGTGTAAACAGAGGGTCAAATAGAGAAGAGACAGAAATCCGCAAAATCATCACGAGAAAAGTGTTACTTTAAAAGAAGCATCCGTCTGTAGGTGCGAACCGAACCGAGCTTTGCTGAATGCGAGTCGTCATGCGCCACGTTGAAAACTGTAACTGACGCCATTGACGAGGTCAGCTGGTTTATGGAGTACCGTCATTATAAGCCCAGCACACTGATCGGGACGGTGCGTTATTACCTCACCCTAGGCACAATAACACACCGTGTGGCCGGAACTACTGGACACAGTGCTTGGGCAAAGACATGAATAAATGCGAAACTAACCAATCCAAGGGACAAAATAACCTCATGATGAAGAGTGGTATTACAAACACGGACGTGAACAGATCAAAATAATTCACTGCGTAACGGAGTACATCGGAACATGGCAAGTTATTAAATCATGTTTCATTAGTTTTTACCTTACCTTATTGGAGCCCTGTTGATCATGCACCTGCTAAATTTTGTTCGAATGGGTAACGTCAAAAGGGTTGCTACCAATAAAACAAACAACTGAGACAGGTTTGCTCTGAATAAACATTGATCTAGTCGGGATCACGGTGGGAGTGGAAACGGCAACTTTGACCAGATAAGGTTTGGGTCCATCATTCTCCGTGTAAATCAAGCAGCACACTCAATATCGATAACTTTTAGTGTGTCCAACAACCAGGAGAATTTTTAACCCAACGAACTAATTGAGGCCGAGTGAAAACAAACGGGAACCACACATTGACACTCCCTCAGCTGAGTAGAACACACAGATACAGATGTACTCTGATGAAGAGAAAGCTGTTCTCATTATAATGGAAATCGGAACGAGTGAAACATAAGCAGAAGGATCAAAAAAGGTAGAAAACGGCACCTTCAGGACGAGTAGCAGAAAGAAGTCGATAGCTTGAAACCTACAAAAGAGAATGTAAATATAATTATAAAAAAGAATCATATATAGGGGTTAAACCGTTAAGAATTCCTACTATATGAATTGACTTCCCGGATAACACTAGTGTTTGTCAACTGAAACGAGGTTTAGAAGTTTGAACAACAAGTGGTGAGAGTGAGTCACCAGTTGATTTATCAACTGAACAGTCACGCCTGTCATCCGCCTATAGCAATGAGACGCCTTGTAGCGTAGAACACACAACCACCAAGGCCCAACTAACATTGGAACAATAGGACCGAAAAATGTTGCATAACCATATGAACTTGGCTTATATGCATAATCATATATGCATAATAATAATAATAATAATAATAATAATAATAATAATAATAATAATCGTTCAGCTGTAACGCTCCTTCAGTGCCCAGCTGCTGTGCCGCTCGAAGAGGGCAATATGAATGAACTTGGCTTCGGAAAACTGAACAGTACCGACCGCTGGAGCCGAATTTGGCTGCTTACTTCCAGGGCGATTTCACTAGTCAATTTCTTTTGTTTCTCATGCCTGTCCGCAAGTAGTCCCACCACTTTTTGATCGGCCGAAACATCTCCAGCTAATGTTCGCTGTTGTGCGACCTGACGCTGGGCAGTGTAGCCGCGATACGCTTCATCCGTGACGGACAACATGGTCTGCATTGCATCTGCAAGTGTAAGACCAAGGAGACAAGTAATGGTGAGCGTGCACCATGACAGCAATTTATCAACAACTTTAATCAGCAACCTTAGTCAACCACAACAGTCGTAATAAGAAATGAGAAAAAAACTGCACTTCTGGGTTTCCAGTATGCAATGATTTAGTTATTGGGGGAAATTTTTTGAAGAAAATATACATACGTCAGCCCTGCGATGGACTACTTAGAGCGGTTACCTTTTAGGGAGGCGGTCTCCAGAGTGATCACCATATATGAGGTTTGCTTAAGACCACAGACATTTCATACGATCTTCACTAACGGACAGACAAACATTGTTGGTATGGGCACTGGAAAGCAACATCTACGAATGTAATTAGCCTTAAGCACTATGAAGTGTACTATCCGAATCATCATTCCGATGAAAAAGTGTGGGCATTTTGCTTGAGGACAACAACACCTGCTGACAAGGTTCTAAACCACCGAAAAAGGAAAATGGGCCACTTGTATTAAATAGAATACTTACAATGCGAAACAGAAAGCAATACAGAGTGTGGGTTGTGAGTGGTTGAGCGACCGAAACACGTCAGAATCACTGTATAGTGAACATACCAAGAATTTCTTGACGTCGTAATTCAAAAGAAGAATCTGGTCTATTGACAAGCATCTTCAGGTTGTCCAAGTCCGCTGCTGCTTCCTGACGCTTAGCGGCTTCGTTTCGGGATAACAGCTGCTGGATCAGCTGATCCGCACTGTCCTCGGCACTCAACAACGTATGGACTAATTTGGTGCGATCTTGATCTCGCTTTCGTTGTACAGCAGTCAATTCGGCATGCAGTCGAGCTTCATCCTGTGGAAAAAAAGAGATATGAAATCTTGGGTTTCCACAGCAACCTGACGACAATCGCCAACCATCATGGTTGTATTGATCGAGTACAGGTTCACGTTAAGTCAACTCTCTTTGGATCGATTTCCACGGCTAGATCTGCCGGACTGATCGNAATCTCAGGTTTAAGAAAGTGATATTCTGTAGTGTACAAACTGGAAGTAGAAAATCAATTGCCCATAGAGTAGAGTACAATTACAAACATCTCACCCTGGTAAGACAAAAGTGCGTGATCTCGAACAGGAAATCATAAATGTGGTTACTGGTATAGAGTAAATCGAGCCATACAATTCTGAAGCGGTTGTCCAAAAACCGGTGTGTCTTGATGGAGGAACCCCTCAAGATGAAGAACAATAACAACAACATAGCAAATTGAGAGTTGTAGCAGCTCTAAAGCTTACGCAGAAATGGTGTAAAGTACAATTAGAATACAAATGAAAATGTACGCTGAAAGCGGACACGTGCAGATGAGGTGGGGGTACCTGAACAGCAGAGTATAGTTGGAAATGAAGTGTTCCATTAAGGTTGCTCTGGCAACTGGTATATACAGTCACCACGAAGAATAGATTTGTATAGTCAGCGGGACGCCTATCCGATGTTCGGTACTGCGGACGAAGACCTACGCCACAATTACTGCGTAGCCAAAATCTGGTAAACGTACTTCAACCATTCCAGGCAATCACACACACCCGGTAAGCGTGCGTGTCCTAGCAGCGACTCAAAAGAGCTAAGTCAGGGACACGCTATTCGGTAATTGTAGTGTTATTCCAAACAAACCGGACCACGAAGTATTAGCTCTGACGGAAATGATCTTGTTGAAGTCAGTGCAGAATCCCAAAGGGCTTATTTGCGTCACTTGTGGCGTCAAAAAGGCATATAACTAGGTCTCAAGGGTCGGGTGTACCAGGCTACAGTAAGGGCTGTGTTGGTGTATGGATGAGAGATGTGGCCTTTGAGGTCAGATGATGTGAGGCTTTTCGACCACCGATGCCTCAGAAGCGTAGCCGGTTTTGGATGGCGTCGGCGTGCTAGTAACGATGTGATTAGAAAAGGGGGGTTTTGGTTGTGCGGCAGCTACTTCAACCGGGAAAAACATCCAAAACGATCAACCATGATGGCTCGGTCATGCGCTACGTATGCTGAAACAATGTCCACTGAGACGAGTGTTGTTCTCGGCGCCTCCTGCAGAATGGCGCACACCGCGAGGTGGACAACGAATGACTTGTAAGGAGGGCGTGATAGTGCGTACGAAGAGTTTGGGTGTTGTAGGCCTTACTGAATGGGGTCCCCGTGACCCCACTCGCGCTTGCACCGAGACATTGCAAGAAATGGCGGCTGATCGATGTCAGTGGCGCTCGTACTGTCAGTTTCTTTCCAGATTGTCTGATTGAGCGCTTGGAGGTGTAGGCACCTCAGAATGCTTGACATAGGCCAGCACTAGGTCCCCTTCCTCACCCACTCTTTTTCTCCTCTTTCCCCTCTACGGCTTTAAATCTACTTAGACGAACCTTATGTTTGTACGGCAGTGAAGCATCAGTCTAAACAGTGATGCTGCCGATGTCAATGACGAAGTAAATAAGTTATCTCATTTTAGGCGAGCTGACGCTGAATTCACGAAGAAGTGAATGATAAATGTCAAGCACCAAAAAGACCCAGACTGGTAAAATCAATCAATAATTTCACAGGACACAATACAACGAAGCTTAGCTGTCAGCGACCAACTGTCGGTTGAATGGTCACTGGATATGCATAAGTTGTCTATGACAGTGTCTGAAGACCTCACTTCAGAAGCACTTGTCCACTTGCACGTAGTGAGTCAACAGCAGATTATTGGATAGCAATTTGCCCTGTTCAACCGGGTCGTGATAGATCCTACAGGATCATAAACTTACACTACCAATCAGCCACCTTCGGCTCAGAGATACGGCGCGCAGAATGATCGTAAATGATAGTTGAAATACCATTGAAAGCGATTCTCGCGTGTTTCCGGAATTCTGTCACATAATGGGTTCAAATGTTCGTAAAAGTATAACTACGTTCCGGGTCCATCTTCCAGGGGGAGTCGACGACTCAATAACAGCTAGGCAATTGTCCATATATGCCAACAGCCGGCTCGAAACAAGTTTTACGCCCAATTATTTCATCTTTATTGGGAATCATCAGTGCTCGTCTCATGAACCGCGCATTGGAACCAGTGACCCCCAGCACGGAGTTCGAACTTTGAGTCAGAGATCGATGGTCATTAGTGTGATTAATTTGCACCTAGGCAGGATATCGCACCACTCAATCTTCAGCCATGTATACCACACCAAGTGAGAGTGACTGGCCCCTCGAGTGATGGCTTATCAGAAGACAACCCATGTGATATGTGGGATGTTCCCATTTCCGGTTAGATTGCTAAGTTTCGTAAATGGTAAGGAATTTTGAAAGTTCAAGTATACACTTCCGCCTACCAGCACAGCTGACTTATAATAAAGCCTAGAAACAGTGTACAGCTGTTTCATCCTTGTTGGGAACCGCCAGCAGCAGCGCGTATCTTAAGAAGCCCCAAGGTTATTACAACGCACAGTTATTTACCTTACAAAGCAAGACTTAACACGCAAGATATAGGTCACAATGAAAAAACGAGCTTACCTCGACCAACTGTCCTAGAACCTTCTGTCGTGTCCGATTTGCTTCAAAGGCTAGTTGCATTTGATCTTTCTGATCCTCTTGCAATTGACGTTCGAATTCCACAGCGCGAAGACGCTGATTGTGCGGTTTCTGCTCGAAAGAAACCAAAAACGACGCCAAGTTAACAATGGAGAACTGCAGAAAGACGGAAATGCATCTAGTTGTGTCGGAACGGGACAAACATTCATGTATGCTAGCCCACTAGTTCGATCATGGAGGGAATTGCAAGCGTTTCGTTTGTTAGACATCGGTGGATGAGTAAGCGACTCAGTTAAGGGATAGATTGATCAATGGCGACTACGATGAACTGACCGGAGAAAGGATAATCGAGCCGAGATAAATCGGGGGGCCCTAGGCACACCAACGGGACATGGTTCAATGACTCGACTACGGTCAACAAAGTCCTCCTCAGCTAAAACGATAAACGGCAAACACAAGTTAAGTCGAGTGACAAAATATGCCATTTAGTAGATCGAGTGCCAGTTGGTGCAATAGAAAATTTCAAAATCCTGAAACCAAGGACACATTATCTGTGAGTGGGGAAGTTCGTGGTCGCAGTATTTCACATAGTAGTGGATACCGAATGGTAATCGATATCCTAGACACAAGTGGGTTTACTTGCGTCATTTACTAATCTGATGGTTCATCTATCGATAACTACTGTAGTCATACTGTAAACAACTCCACTTCATGCATTGAACGCGCAATTTTTACTTCTGATTATTGGTGAATAAAACCACTGAAGCTCAGACCATTGCAAACGTGCATGGATCACAGCTGAAGATAAATTTCCAGCGGCCATTTGAGGTGACCCGCATACCTTGACCAAAACAGTAAAGATCGGCTCTGGATGCTTGTACACAACGCCATGATGCACCCAGTAGCTCGTGGCTACTTAAGTGACGTTCTACTCAGAATTAGAAATACTTGGATTTTGGATCACAAAACGTGGTTAACATGTAGCACGTTATCAACGTTTTCCTTCACTGAAACTCTATGAACTGGTGCTCCCAGATACCACTTCTGTTAGTCAACCCACTACATGTCTGTGTTATTCCTACACTTTACTGAGAAGGGCTAATCCATTGCCTCGTTCAACAAAACAGGTGAGTTCTTATTTGGGTAGAACGATACATGACTGTCACCCTTAGAAGCAATTATCACTGACATACCACAGACCAGAGAGGATTGCCAAATGTCATGACGGTTGGGTGATATAAGACCGGTGTGCTGTGAGTTTGGACAAACCGATAACAATAGAATTTTTTCAAATGATTCAAGCATATGTGTAAAATGAACAACTTACGTCTGGGGAAACTTGAGAACAGCCAGTTTCCTGTGGTTTGTGATGAGATACATGCGCGTGGGATTCACTGATTGAAGTTGACGTGTTATAACCTGAAACAAGTAATTCATGGGATGCTGAAGGTTTGGATTTACTAAACGACATTTCCAAATTGCTACTACAGACAGAGCACAAAAAGTGGATATTTTGGATTTGTGTGCAACTCCCAACTTCAACAAGGCATTCTTCGCGGTATGATTATGCAAACCACTGGAGTAAATAATATGTTTAGGGAGTCATCAACACTTTGGAGATTATTAATATATCACGGAGAACTACAGCATAAAATTCCTGAAGAGTAGAGGGTAGTGCTGTGACCCATGGATCATTGGACCCTATGAATACACACCATGAGAGGTGGTGGCGCTTTGAATGAATACGGTGACCAGGCAGTGAAGTGTCTGCGTTATTGTTGGTGATTATGCTTCGTTAATTGCTGTGGCAGAGATCTCTTTTGTTAAACTCTCCATTACTTTGCTTCCGTACTAGGAACCCAGAAGTTAAACCATTAAAGTATGCTATTTTAGATGTGCCCCAAGGTGACCTAAAGTGGATTTAAACAGACGAAATATCTTCCACTCTAATTTGTACTGTACACGCTTCCATTGCGTAGTGTTTCTTCCGGCTGTGAATAGGAATTGGGCCATTGTCCACAAAATCGCACTACTTCTGCGCGAATGTGCAAGAAACTTGGAGCAGTGTACATAAAGATGCAGTATCCCTGAACTCATTCTGTACTTTCCCAAATTAGACGACCTAAAACAAACGGATGATGTATCCGTGATGCACACAACCTTAGGGATTGTAATACCTTGCATTCTCATCAGATAAACTTTAGATTTCTACCAAATGCGTACACACGAATGTGTTGTTAGGGTCGATAGTCTGAAACTGCCTCCCAGAGGGTTATGAATGCACATGTGATGCGCCTTAGCAAAGATAAAAGGCTGTATATGAATGGATATTTCGAGACTACAACCAAATCCACGGTTTAGTAACCATGAAGTACATCGCAAGGATTAGTGGCTAGTTGGGATAGGCAATCGGACTACCCATGACCAAGTCGAAAGCAGAGCAACTGTCCCAACCCTACTGGGATATCGTATCAAGACCCTATGATAGCACTCGGATTCACAGTGGGACCTTTAACAGTTCCAAAGAAATTTTAACAGGTCAAGCTGTCCACATGACCGGCGAGATTTCAAAGTAATGTGCTTTTTTACTTTGCAGCATCGATTGACTTTATTTTTAGGACGAAATCTTGACCGCGAATTCCCGAACCACCTCATATTACCGGTAGCCAAATTTACGAACCTAACGAGCACACCTATATGACTTCGTATGTCCAAAAATACTACCTACAGAGTCAATGACCTCCTTGGAAGTGAGAAAAACAGAGGACATCGATCGGTGGCGCATAGCTTCTGAATATCATGGTAAATTACACTTCCAGTATTATCTTGGCTCCACAGTCGCTCCGCAGTGGAGAGATGCCAGGAGTTCACTGCGTCCAAAACAAGTTCAACTGAGGAGCCATTGACAATCAGCCCAAAGTTGTCGTTATACTCTGCGTCTAAATCAAATATCCAACCAAGATTTTTCTCCAAGGAACTGTGGCAGCCCCTAATCCGCTGAGATCTTCGGCCATTGAGACTTTACCCGTACACACCATAATGAGAAACAGTGTAGTCAGTAACCGATAGAACATATCTTCAGCCGAATCAGAAGTGCAGTTTGTTGATGCACAAGTAATGAAATATAAAATACATCGTCCAATGACAGCACAATTTCGGTGCATTTCTGCCATGCAGCCCGAGAAAAGCACGAGTGAGACTCCCCTAGATTGCCCAAGACTACACAGGAGCATTCGAAAAGCCAGGGTTGGGTTAGAGCCACGGGCCTTCCGGTAAGCACCCCCACACATTAACCACTGGGATATCTTAAGCTTGTGAACAAGTAAGCACCACAGATGAAATGTTACTACAAGTTAGAGCCACGGGCCTTCCGGTAAGCACCCCCACACATTAACCACTGGGATATCTTAAGCTTGTGAACAAGTAAGCACCACAGATGAAATGTTACTACAATTTGACCAGTGCAAATGCCCATGGGGGGGTGGACAGTCAGGTAGCACAGAATTAGCCGCTTACGGGTAACTAATCAAGCGCCGAAGGTTTCGCTCGTGAATGGAACACCGGTACAACCGGAGGTAGTGGTTTCAATAACACCCGAAGATCCTGGTCAGTTGTGCCCGCTTGAAGAGAGTGTCGTAAGTCAAATATTGTGTTTGTGTTCCAGAAATATGGGCGAATAACTGTCGATAAGATATGCAGCGTGTGCTGAAGAGAAGCTGGCTGGTCTATTTTCCACTTTAAACGTTGTGACAAAAACAGGTGAACACGGTGTGCACAGAGGACAACGATTGTTGTTTCACTTTCTTGGGCGACGTGCATACGGTTAGGATATACACAAGAGTGATTATTTTGTAAGATGGCAGTGGAGTTAAGAGAATATAGGGAAAAGAGTAGGAAGCACCAAGTGCCGCATGTTTACATTCATCCACTCAGCGTTACGCAGCGAATAAGACCGAGCGATGATGCTGTGATACAGCCAATGTGGCACGAAGGTACTTTTGTTGCAGTACAACACGGTTGTGTGAGTGCGATAGGACATGTTCACGGCGCCCACATCCAGATAAAAGAACGATCACGAGGCAGTGATGGTTGGCGTACTACTATCAGAATGTGAAGTGTCATGACGGCCTTTAGCGCACATAGTAGTGTTAATAAGCGGTATCTCGTCCGTGAAAATTGTGTGACATTATGGATGAGAATATACCTGAAAAGTCGCAATATTTACGGGTGTTTTCCGAGTTACTTACCCAACACAAGTGTGCTAGGAGAAAATCACCAGCTTACTGGAAGTAAATCATTACAAAAGCCATCAATGACAATCCAATGGAACAGATGTTTGCGGCTAAGTTGTTTTGGCCGAGTAGAACTCCGTCTGAGGGGCAATGAAGTCCCTAATGACCGAATACGGAAGTGAAGTACTGCGTATCTGTTAGCGGAGAAGAGGGCCGATGCCCATTAGAGCACAATCTTTACAGGAAAAACGAACCTGTTCGCGTTCCTCCAAGAAACCGAAGGATTGCTTCCACGCCGT